TGCATGGATTGGTAAATGGTATACAAGACGTCAGTTAAGACGAGTGAAACAGCGATTCGCCAGTGGTCATTCCCATAGAAAAACCTACTCTTTAAATGGTAAATGAAAATGACATTTGAGTGAATAACGGATGAATATGAGTGTTGATAATAAGTTCAGGTATATCAATAACAGCCATTCCGATAAATAAAGACAACTACGGTTATGTGATTGTCAACGACGATAGCAAAGACTGTGTGCTGATCGATGTTGGCGATTGCGATCCGTGTCTTCAGTTTTTACATTCCAATAACTACATTCCGTCTGCTGTTCTTACAACGCATAAACACTGGTCAGTATTTTTGTTTTATGGCTGCGTTGTGAATTATTCGATTGCATTCAGGGATCATTGTTACGGCAACAAGGGTATGCTGCATGCTTATCCAAATCTTAAATTATACGGCAGTAAAGTGGATCGACCTTATGGCACGAATGTGTTCGTTTCACTTTTGTTGTGCTTATTTTATGATTAGCTACCGTGATGATTCTTAGATTTGACGATAAAAATTCAGGTTCGTAAAGGAAGGTGATGAGTCAATTGAAATAGGTTCATTTCGTTTTTCAACGCTCTTCGTGCCTGGACATACAAAAGGTCATATTATCTATCGTTTACTGAATCCGAATGGACAGGATTGTCTTTTCACTGGCGATTTTCTTTTTATTGGTGGAATTGGTCAGTTATTATTAGTATTATTGTTATTAACGTTAATGTTTAGGTGTTAATATTTTATTATTTGTGTTGTTATCATGATTTGAGGTCATATATTCGAGGGTACAACGAAGCGTGCGTTGAAGTCTTTGAATCTGTTACAATGTCTACCTCGATCAGCATTAATATTCCCGGGTCATGAGTATTCTTTAAAAAATATCCAATTCGCTTCAAAATTACAACCCGAAAACAAAACTCTGAAACGTATCGAAGAATCAGTTCGACAAAAACGAATACAAAAAATGCCATCGGTAGGTTGTTTTATTTATTTATTTATTTATTTACCATCTCCCTTCTTTGCATCAATCAAAAATTGCATACAACTGCATTCGATTGCACTACTTTCATATATACACATTTCATTCATTCTCCATCCATAAAATTCATCATACTATGCATTTCTAATTGAACACTGACTAAAACTCTGCAATTCGCAGTGTCTCATTCGCAGTATCATAATGCAGCATCTCACTTGTTTTTTGCTTTTTTTTCAATTAATTTCTCCAAATAGAATCTTCAGTTAACAACGTGTGACCAAAATAAGAGTTTATGTTCACGTTAAGAATCGATTCTGCTTATTCAAAAAGTAAAAATCTTATATAAGAGGATACTGAATTCTCTGGTTTATTTTCGGAAAATGAAGCAAAATTTGGAAATTCATTCGAAATTGGTGCGATTTTCAACAAGCAATGACTGTTTTTGCTAGCTCATGTTATGAAAATGTAAATTGAATTAAATAATTCATTAGTATGATATCACAAATTTTTATTGATAATCACTTATACTGCCTTTAATTTCATCCGAGCCCACGAAATTGAAGTAATCATGTGAAAAACGTTGACATATATGCTTGATGTGTGTGTGTAATCAATACACTAATATTAATGCATAATAAATGAATTATTTCCCTGTTTCGTTCTATTATTCGTACAAGCTCTTCCCTACTACATTCAATTATCTATTATCAGTCCTAAGCATATAAGTTGTTGTATGGCGTTATTGAGGTTGTCATTAAACGACGACGAATGAATAAAGTATTATTGGCTTTGTGTTTAGTTTATG